GCTGAGCAGAAGCTGCTGCCCAGTATGGGGGAAAATAGCACCTCCCCTTCGCTGCTGCTGGCGCCTTCTTGCTGCAGCTGCCTGGAGCCTGTGCACTACCACCACTGCCCTGCTGATCGTGGCAGAGAGGAGTGGAAGGGCAGGTTGGGTGCAGACTCTGGCCAGCTGCAGCATGAAGGGGGCGCTTTTCCCCCAGGCCCAGCAGCAGCTTCATCCCGTCTGCTGCCACTGCTCAGCGCTGGCAGGTGGTTCGGAGCAAGCATTGGGCAGGCCATGTTGGGGCTGCGCATGCAGATTTTGCCTGGTTCGGAGCTGGTCCACTTTGCTGGGCTGAGTCTAGAGCGGGCATAAGGCAGGCTGGAATTGGGGCTGTGAGCACGGGGCCCCACCAGTACCACAGGGCTGGGGCCAGTGGCAGTGGTAGCCAGAAGGAGCCACCACTGCCACTTGGGCTGCCTAGAAGGGTGGGGTGGGCTGGGGCTGCATGCTGTTGGTGGTGCTGCATGGGCTCCAGCTGTTGCAGGGAAGGGAGAGGGAGTGGTTTCAGACTAGCCCCAGGCAGCTCCCCAGAACTGTCTATGTGGGCCCATATAATTGCCTGTCCCTGTTCCAGTAGATGCATCCAATCTTGATTTAGACTGAAGGGGTGGGCCATCTAACACAGAATGAAACCAAAGACCAAATACCATGTAAAGCTGCTAATATACAAGAATTAAGATAAGGCTCTAACCTATAGCACTTCATTGTCCCTGACTACAGAACAGCAGCCATTCAGATCTGTATTTTATCTTTAAACAAAAATATGCCCACAAGTAACATCTATGCAGTCAGGAAGGCATTCATCACCACAATCATCAAGACAAACGAATGCAAAAGACGTCTTATGCCCACACACCAGGCCTGTCAGCATACAGTTACTTTAAACAATTCACATTCTTTAAATGTAGTTTATGGATTTCAAATTCCACTGTTAGGAAGGGAGACAAATTCTGATTGAACATGCACAGAGCTGAGAAAATATCTACCTTTTAATGAAGAGAAAGGAACTTGGGGTAGCAACCCCAGAGAATCCCAAGGTCATAGCTAGAAGCTTGTGAGAGGCTGCAGTCTCTGCAGAAAGTGACACAAAGAGCAGATAGGAGCCTGGCCACCATCAGATGACCACAGCACGGTTGCTTGTAGTAAGAGCATCCAGACTACACTACTCCAAAACAGTTCAATATTTAAACGGAAAAACAAAACTAAAAGCTGTCTACATCTGACATTGGAGAGTTATTTCTGGCAAGACCAAAATCCACTTCCCGGAATAGAAGATAACAAAACCAGTCTTACTCAAAGTTTGCCTTTCATTCTCAATGTCATTACTTAGGTTATCCTCAGAGATGTTATCACTTATATCGCTGACGTACGAGTCATCATCCGATACCTGGAAAGGGTAGAGAACAAACAATTTGTATCATTTATTTTGTTAACCCTATGCGTGCATAAAAGTTCATCATATGATACTCCTCCAAAGATGATATTTCAGAAATCAGTAGTTTTTGTTAAAGCTATGATTAAAACAGATTTGTACTGTTTGCACAGTGTTCCAATAGAAGCAAAAGGTAGACTTGAGAGAGAGCAATGAAGTGTCCATGAAAGGTCATTACTGAAAAAAATTCATAAGCAACAAAGCAAGTCTCATCTTCTTTGATCCTACTAAAGCTTTAGGGAGGTGTTTCTTAAAATATCAGAACGTCAAACCTTTCATAAAATCCTCAAAAGCTCTTGAAACAAACCAAAAAAAATTGTATATTGTAGCATACAACCTGGATCAATAATACAATCACACTAAGAAATATTTAATATTGGACAAAATTCCTTGAAAAACCTGTAGGACAACTCAGGGTAGATGTTACGATGTGCATGACTTACGATTTCAATTTTTAAACCAGGTAACAATTACTTGGAAGTTACATCAATACTGCCTCCCTCCAGCTTTACCTATAGCATGCTAATCTATTGTAAAGAGAACAAGCAAGTAGGTGTATGCCACTTTTTAAAATTCTTCAAAATATTGCAGCTGTCAAGAATCAGTAAATGTGCAAATAGCAAACAGAAGTGTAAAATGTAAAGTACTTTGAAAATAGCTAGAGTGATTTTCTGACATTGGTGCTCAGACCTCATTTTCTGAAGAGCTAGCCGACAGCAGGACTTCCTGTGCATCAAAGAACTCTGTGAGAGAGTCAGTGATAGACAGTCTACTTTCATTGGAGACCTGGTGAACTAGACCTCTGCTTTCTTCTCCTGAATTTTCCTGTTCAAAAGAAACACAGACTTTGAGGGGGGACAAAAAAGAAAAGTAAACTGCATATATATGGGCAAACCAGCAGATACATAATTCAGAAGGCTTTAAAATACTGTGGATGAGTGCATGTACCTTGCACCACTTACTTTAAACAGCATGCACTCATCCTGAGGGGATTAGCAGCAAAGTACAAAAGTACAAAAGAACCAGACAAAACCCCAAAGGACCGAAAGTGAAACTCAGTAATGCTGTTTTGCAGATTAGTTACCACCCTTGCATATGTACTTTTATTCTAAACATAGCTATTAAAGTGTTGCAGCGGTTGAATGATCCATTAGCTAGGTGTATGTTAGTGGATCACCATGAAAAGAAGAGCAGCCATTAGACAACCTCTGAAAACCTCAAGCCACCATTCTCTATGGTAGGTACTAAAGCCAAAAGATCCTCTCCTAATCTTGGTAAGCTAGTCACTTAAAGGTGGCAGAGAGAGGGCACTCTAATTAGAGTGGCTCTTGGGAGCCGCTCTAATTAAAGCATCCACAGCTTCTGTGTGTTCAACATCCCATGCTTCAAAAATCCCATGCTTCAAAAGGGTGGTGGGATGCTTTAACTAAATCTCGTTTGATGAGCTTTAAAGTGCCCCCACCACCATTTTGAAGCATGGGGATGC